ACCCTTTAAAAATAAAGTTTGTTCGTTCGTTCGTTCACCTCTCATCCTAGCCGGCTGTCTGACACCAGAGACAGTTAGATACGAGGAAACTCACAGGTAAGCAAGGCAATTGGCTGTCTTTCTAGAGGTCATCTCATAGCAGGTGTGTGTAGTAAAGATATCAATATATACTAGGCCACACAGTGACGAGATATGGGTGACAAGGTCAGTTGAGTACAATGTGGTCGGTAAAGTGGAGTCCCCTAATGACCGTTCACCCCAGGTGATAAAATGTTAGTCTCAACTTGTTGTAGGATGAGCAGCGCAGGGTTTCCTAGCTTTCTGAGACCAGTGCAGATAGGTGAAGGTTGAGAGTTGCCAAGGTAGAGGTGAAGGTTGAGAGTTGCCAAGGTAGAGGTGAAGGTCGAGAGTTGCCAAGGTAGAGGTGAAGGTTGAGAGTTGCCAAGGTAGAGGTGAAGGTCGAGGGTTGCTAAGGTAAACAAGTAGTTTTATTAATTAGCATCTGAGCCCATGTCTGCTAGGTCAGATACATACGAGATTATGTGATCGGTTTCTTTCCTCAAAGTTTGCCTGCCCAAATATGTCCGATCCCACTGCTTTCGCAGGGTTAGTTGCATGTCATTATTCTTTCTAGAATTGTAGACAAGAGCATATCCATTAACTGGGTATTGTTTGTTAAACAGGACAGATACTTGTGAAGCAAGATGATATCCCAGGGTGCTGTGCTTGGCTGGCACATGATGATGATGATGTCTGAACCATTGACCTTCACCTCAATAAGGACACTTGCAATCAGCAGGCAGCCCCACCTCCATGACACTCTGACCTCTGACCTTTACATGTGGGAACAGACTACCTAGCTTGTAGTGACATCCAGGAACTGAAGAGCTCAACTTTGAAACATCTGGTAATCTGGTAATCTGGTAATCCTAGTTTCAGTTTCATAGCAAACGGGTCACCCCATAGTTGCTCCGCTCCTGTGCCAACGAAAAACACACGTAGCTCACAGTGTCACACCATGCACTCAACTCAGAAGCTGGGGGACGAAACTATATGCTTCCAGTCTATAAATGGAGCCACCGCCTGGCAGAAGTAAAATAAAAAAAAATTTGCCACGGCTAAAAATAAAAAAAAGGTGGCCGTGCCTAGCGTCCATTTTGACCTGAAGCATTATGTGAGGGTTAATAAATGGTCCAGTACTCTCATGATTAGCGGGGGAAGGGACTTAGGACATTACATCCATCAGCAGGCGTCGCCCCTACAACGACCTGACTGCCTTCGTTAACGACTGTTCACCCAACAGCCATGCAGTTCTTTGGCACGAAGGAGACACCTTGAACTTGGGTTTCAGAATGCTAACTTCCTACAAAATGTTATTTTGTGTTTTGTTCTCACAATCGACGTCACTGCACATTGGGCACACCCATGCGTGCACAGTCCTCTAAAGCAGCAGCCACTCCAAAGTACTTCTACTAATCGTCCCCATGAGAAGCTGGTTATATTGTTTCCTTTCTCGACCTCGAAGACGGCAAAGACATGCGTCACCATGCTTAACTCCCATGTCACGCAATCGTGTTTGTGTCAGGGATTCGTCATTATCCACTAGCTCAGTACGTACTAGCTCTATCCATGCTTTTTCCCCTCAATCATCAGTGCAGTGCTTGCCAGTTGGTCCGCTCGCTCATTTCCCTTGACGCCCGCATAACCCGGTGTGTAGATCCAGGTTACGGAAGTTAAGTGCGATTTCCGAATGCTTTCTACTCATTCAGAGTGCATACTGCCTGTTGCTATCTTCTGAAGCATATTCATGGAGTCTGAGACAATTACTGCTCGTGTGGCGGTTTGCTTGGATACCCATGCTAAAGCTCTAGAAGCAGCAGCTATTTCACTTTGAAACATAAAATAGCAATCTGCCCTTCCAGCAGACAGTGGCTTGGGGTGCAACATGATAAACCCAAGCCTAACCACAGTTAGCCCTTAGTGCAGTGCTCAATCCTGACAGATCACATCCTAGTAAGTCTCTTGAAGTTCCATTGCTGGTGCTGCTGCACTCTCTCCCCCACATGTTCCTGCCCCCCCCCCCCCAAGGGGGAGGGGGTATGTTGCACCACCTGCATGTAGATGGTACTTTGGTACATAATACAGGAAGCAGTCTCTCCACCAACCTCTTCTAACAGATGCATGGCAACCTACTCACCAACCCACTGACCAACCAACAAACTAACCAATCAGTCTTCTTCATCTTCTTTACGTCCTCTTTTACCACTTCAGGTGTCAAGGGAGATATAAATTCCTGCTTCATGCTTTTCTGGCTGCATCGAACTAAGACACATCAATGTGCTGTAGAGTGTCTTGATGATCCCTCTCTTATTTTGGTACAACTCCCCACTTGTACGCTGCAGGCAGGGACAACTCCCCACTTGTACGCTGCAGGCAGGGACAACTCCCCACTTGTACGCTGCAGGCAGGGACAACTCCCCACTTGTACGCTGCAGGCAGGGACAACTCCCCACTTGTACGCTGCAGGCAGGGACAACTCCTCACTTGTACGCTGCAGGCAGGGACAACTCCCCACTTGTACGCTGCAGGCAGGGACAACTCCCCACTTGTACGCTGCAGGCAGGGACAACTCCCCACTTGTACGCTGCAGGCAGGGACAACTTCCCGCTTGAGGATTGAGGGCCACGTGGTTAGGGCTGTCAACATGCACTGTCCAGGTTTGGATTTTTTTTGCCTCCAACATAAAATATTCACAACCTTACTGTGGATTTAAACCTGGGTCTTCTGCATAGGAGATGAGTGTTCTTAACTACTTGGCCAGCCACTCCTCAGCAATCAGTCAACCTATCAAAAAATGATGTCCCAATGGGCACAAGTGCGAATGAATCCAGATGGAACATGAGAAGTTCAGATAATCAACATTTACAGAAAAACACACAAGTTAGCGGGTGAGCAGACAATGACAAAGATGACTCACATATTTCAGCCAACATGGGAGAACCACAGACGTCAGATCTGTGACTGAGGCACACCGAGACATTGATGGCTGCTACTCCACTCTGGGCTATCTCGATAGAGTCCCCCAACACCTGTGTTGCAGAAGAAGCAAGGTTAATGTTGAAGGGCTGTCAAACACTAAGGATAACAATACACAAAAATGTTCAGGATACAGTCAGATGTAGTGTACAACACCCTTCTTGGAAGACTGACTTTCTCAGGCGAAAGCAAAGTCTGGAACTTAGTTCATGAGCCAGGTCCTGTTGTATTTCTGTGTCCTTGAACTTAGCCGGTGTCTGAGTGCATGTTTAGTAACTGTTGCAGGAGATCAAATCCCTGAAACATTGCAGGAGGTCAAATCCCTGAAACATTGCAGGAGATCAAATCCCTGAAACATTGCAGGAGGTCAAATCCCTGAAACATTGCAGGAGGTCAAATCCCTGACCACTGATGCAAGTTCCCTACACCAATGCAGGTCAAATCCCTGACCACTGATGCAAGTTCCCTACACCAATGCAGGTCAAATCCCTGACCACTGATGCCAGTTCCCCACACTAATGCAGGTCAAATCCCTCAAAGGTTACAAGAAAAATTAATAGACTGGCAGTCAAATCGTTGAATAATCAACATTACCCAGGTCATTGAATGGTTAGGACAATAGGCTCTAAATCGGGGGGACCTGGGTTCGAATCCTCAGTAAGGCTGGGGATTTTTTCTGTTGGAGGCACACAAAAAACTCTTTACCTGGACAGTCGTGGCGACAGCATTAGCCATGAGGCCGTAAATCCTAGGGCTCAAAGCCCCCCCCCCCCCCCTCCCCCCACATCGCAAAAATGGTATGATAAAGGCAATAATTGGGGGGGTGGGGGGGGGGGGGGGGGGGGGGGGGGACAGTTAGTTAGTCATGGCGGGGTAACATTGTGCTGTCTCCGTACAGTTGGTTGTGTTGCTGTGAGAGTGCTGGACTGTCCCCGTACAGTTGGTTGTGTTGCTGTGAGAGTGCTGGGCTGTCCCCGTACAGTTGGTTGTGTTGCTGTGAGACAGTTTGTAGAAACTGAAGTACCATAACAGAGCCTGAATCTAACAAGTTAAGTACCATTTCCCTGCTTTCAAGCGTACTGGGTATAGAGGGCTAGACTTATATTACAGACCAAACGGCGCTTGGTGGGTGATGTGATCAGCATCACGCCGACCACCTTTACTTTCCACGACTGCACCTGGTACCAACTAAAGGCTGAGTGGGCCTAGGAGTCAAGGTCATTGTTGAAAAAAAGACTGGCTCCGTCCGGATGTAAACCCACTACCTTCCGATCCGCAGGCAGGCGTCTAGCTGACAACGTCAAGGCCTCACCAAGCCTGAATCTACCAAAGGACAATTTTAAAACTCCAGAGCAATGTAGGGTTCAAACTCTGAACAAGCAGACCTGCTAAACACAGAGCTACCAGGGTTTTCTGTCAGAAATAATTGTCAGTCTTTTTTTGTTTTGCCCTTTTTTTTGCTTAGGGGAAATAACTGTGATAATCAGACTGCAGATATACATCCAGATAGTTGGAGTTGTTTCCCATTTCAGTAGTCCTGTTTAAGAAATAAAATGAACAAATCAACCAAAAAGTTAGGGAGCTAATCGGCTTATTAAATGATAACAGAAAACAATGATATAAGTTTGGACAGAGAGTGCAAAGAAGAAACCATGACTAACAGAAAGCACATAGTGTCTTTCACAACAACAGGTCAACTGAAAGACACAAGCAGAGACTTGTTAGAATAGAATTTGCTGTGTCATTTGAGTGGGTTGAGAGAGCAGAGACAATTGAGGCATGTGATTTCCCTGTAGCCTATAACCTTGAGACAGAAGACGTCATCACTACCTGCTGATTATTGTTGCTAGATATACTTGTCACACAAGGAATTTTATCTGTTGCTATTGTTTATCTGTTGGTGTTGTTCAGTATGAAGTTTTATCAAGTGAAGTGACTGCTGGAAATATATGAAAGTTATTCACCTTGATACAACCATTGACCGGATTCCAGCCACCTCTGTTAGTCCGCACTTCCACCCGCAGACAATAGTCATTGCTGGGACTAGGTGGCAGCACAACCAGTTTCCGCTGGCGAGCATCAAATACGGGAACTTTCAGTTGATTGGCGATTTGTAAATCTGAAAGTAGGTCATGGATAGTCAATATGCAACTGCAAGAATTCACATAGTCTGTTTACAATAAATGCATATAGTTGGTGAATTAGTGAAGACTGATTTGGAAGCTGCAGAGATGAGGTTTCATTGATGAATGGTTTGAATACCCTGGACAGATAGAAAGAAAAAGAAAGACATTTTAAAACTGACTCACAAAGGAAACTGACTCACAAAGGAAACTGACTCACAAAGGAAACTGACTCACAAAGGAAACTGACTCACAAAGGAAACTGACTGCCCACATAAAAAAAGAAACAATCTAAATCCTTTAGTCGTGAGATGAGAAGGAGAAAACTGGAGTACATCGTGACGTTTAGCTGGTACTTATGTTAGGTTCAGCTGGTACTTATGTTGGTACTTATGTTAGGTTTAGCTGGTACTTATGTTGGTACTTATGTTAGGTTTAGCTGGTACTTATGTTGGTACTTATGTTAGGTTCAGCTGGTACTTATGTTGGTACTTATGTTAGGTTTAGCTGGTACTTATGTTAGGTTCAGCTGGTACTTATGTTGGTACTTATGTTAGGTTCAGCTGGTACTTATGTTAGGTTCAGCTGGTACTTATGTTGGTACTTATGTTAGGTTTAGCTGGTACTTATGTTGGTACTTATGTTAGGTTAAGCTGGTACTTATGTGAGGTTTAGCTGGTACTTATGTGAGGTTTAGCTGGTACTTATGTTAGGTTTAGCTGGTACTTATGTGAGGTTTAGCTGGTACTTATGTGAGGTTTAGCTGGTACTTATGTGAGGTTTAGCTGGTACTTATGTAAGGTTTAGCTGGTACTTATGTTGGTACTTATGTGAGGTTCAGCTGGTACTTATGTTGGTACTTATGTGAGGTTCAGCTGGTACTTATGTTGGTACTTATGTGAGGTTCAGCTGGTACTTATGCTGGTACTTATGTGAGGTTTAGCTGGTACTTATGTAAGGTTTAGCTGGTACTTATGTGAGGTTTAGCTGGTACTTATGTGAGGTTCAGCTGGTACTTTTGTGAGGTTTAGCTGGTACTTATGTGAGGTTCAGCTGGTACTTTTGTGAGGTTTAGCTGGTACTTATGTGAGGTTTAGCTGACATGTGAATCCTGTTCATTAAAACTACTCAGTGCCTGAATGGAGATGCGAACACATGACCACCGGATGAATGTGCCAGCCACTGAGTTGCCACCACCTTCCCCACACAATGTGCAGACTGTATTTTGTTTGTGTGAACTAAAAAAAAACTGTACCTTCTCTTTGTGCAAGCCATGGAATGTAAGACTATATTTTCCTAACATGAATCACAAATAAAAAATATATTGTCCAAAAATGAAACACATTAGGTAGACCGTGACTAAATGTTTATATCTGAACCACACAGTGTCAAAACTGTGCATTATTCATGTGAAACACATCATGTGAACAGTGAGACAATATGTCAACCACACAGTGTGAACACGTCAACCACACTGTGTGAACATGTCAACCACACACTGTGAACAGTAGAAGACAGATAATATGTGAACTACACAATGTAAACACTGCATATAATGAGATGTCAACCACATAGTGTGAACACTAAAAGACAGATAAAATGTGAACTATACAATGTAAAAACAGTATGAATACTGAAAGACTAAGACATGTGTTAATGACTCACAGTTTGTGGTGACCGTCAGTGGCTGAGAGGGTGGGCTCGAACCCAGCTTATTTTCTGCAAACACTTGGAATGTGTAAGTTGTTGATGGATGAAGTTCTGCAACAGAATCAATCATTTAATTTTTTTTTAAACTGAGTGATGTTATCCCTGAGATTATTTGTGTCATCAACATTAACATCATCATGATCATCATCATCATCATCATCATCATCATCACTGTCACCACTATCAGCCCAACTACCCAACAGCACATACAACACACAGGAAATTGTCAGAGAGTGAACAGCCAAAATTGAGAGCAATTTCCTACTCATTTGCCTTTTATAGCCGCTGTGACTCCATCTCAGAGCTGGCCAATTTTTAGTTTGCGTTTCCAGCTGAATCACAATTATAACAGTTACCTCCCCGTGTGGGTACCGGAGTCCCATTGTGGGGAAAACAAGAACAGACCCACTGCCTGCCCAAAAGCATGTCGTAAGAGTCGACTAATTGGGGAGTTTCCTTTGAAGTTGGAGTGCATCTGCCTGAGAGGCAAGGAACTAACATTCTGCATTCAAGTGAATCAGATCTGTAAAACTTTTGCATACACAACACTCAGGTTCTGGAGCAGGACTGCAGTTCACTAGTGGACGAACAACCAGAACTTTCCGCCAGAGTGTACAGCTGGTGAATGCAAGAAGAAGAAGAAGATAACAGTTACCATGAGCCTGTTACACTACTGTCAGATTTTAATTTGATTTAATTTGATTTGATTCAAGAACCCACATCACAGCACTCGGGGCATTCCCATCAGCGCTCCGTCCCCATCTTCAGCAGCCAGTGAAGACTTTCTATAATAATGGTTCCAGTAGCATTCTGATTAAATATCCGTCTTGCCTTTCCTCTGAGCCTCGAGCATCTGCCAGAACCTCTGGTCACTCCCCGCTGCATCAATCTCACCAGACTGTGGTGATCCATCTGCTCCTCCAAACTGTCAGACTGTTCATTTCCCACACACCGGCGTACCCTGGTGAAAAAAGCACTGATACTTACTGTCAGAATACACAGAAACCTTTGTCCTATCAACAAGTTCCCACTGAAAGTCACAAACAAATATGAAAAAAAAACCAATAATAAATCAACTTATATGATAACAAGGAGACAAGCAAAATCATGTTAAAACACACTCACTTGTAACATTAAATGATGAAGATGAAACAGGCGTGACCTCGATTCTTGTGACCTCCTCCCCTGGCCCTGACCTCTGGATGTAGTATCTCTGATCCAACCCACCACTGAAGCCAGGGACCCAGCCCAGCATGGCCGACTCCCATGTGCTGGACAACAGCGTGAGGTTTGTGGGGGTGTCTGGACGAGCTGTGAGGCAGCAATCACATAACGTTATTCATGAACATGACAAATGTGAGGTTTGTGGGGGTGTCTGGACGAGCTGTGAGGCAGCAATCACATAACTTTATTCATGAACATGACAAATGTGAGGTTGTTAGGGTGTCTGGGCTAGCTGTGAGGCAGCAATCACATAGCGTTATTCATGAACATAACAAATGTGAAGTTGTTAGGGTGTCTGGACGAACTGTGAGGCAGCAATCGCAAAACGTTATTCATGAACATGACAAATGTGAGGGCTGTTGGGGTGTCTGGGCTAGCTGTGAGGCAGCAATCACAAAATGAAGATGACAAAAGGAGGAGATAAAACAGCAATAGTGCAAATGCTAATGGACAACATGAGCACTGATACCACATGACAGACTTGACGACTGATGCCACACAACATTGATTTTGAGGATAAGATGGAGACTGAGAAAGAACAGCACTAAACAAGGCTAATAATAGGTGCTACCATCATCATCATGTGCCATGCCAGTAAGTGTACGCTGTCAGTTTCACCATCTCGCATGATCACCAGCATCACAGATCAGTTCAATGTATTTGTCTCACCCCATCGATGAGGCCAGGCCCTCCAGACATTTATCTCTTTGCCTTCCTCTTTCTCTCAATCTTGCCGCTTGTTACCAAGTTGTCGGGGGCCTTCCTTCTAATAGAATGTCAAAAAAACACTGACTTTCTACATCCAATGGTTCTAATTAGTTTACAAATTTGATCTTTATCAATGAGGATTGCTTCTTCTGTTTTTCTATGTTTCCATGACATTCTTTGAGTTCTTCTCAGAAACCACATCTCTGCCACAAGTAAATGTTCTTCAGCTTGTCTGCTAATTGTCCATGTTTCACATTCACAAAACAAAACAGGTTCTACGTAGCTCTTCAGTTCCACTTTTCTCGCTGCAATTGACATTTACTTGTCAGTGAGAATCTTTTTCATCTTGCTAAAGGTCACTTTTCCCCATGGCAATTCTTGATCTAATTTATGCAAGACCTCTTGCATCAGATGTTACAACTGTTCCAAGATAGTTTTATCTTTTCATTTAACCCATATGGGCAGTATAAGAGCTCTTATCTAACAAACAGACAATCATTTATGTTCACGAGATTGTCTTCTCTGCGTCCCCCAACTGTAAACTTCAGCAGAAAGTTCTGGCTGATCGTCCACTTCTCGACCTTAGTCCGGTTCCAGAACTTTAGTTTTGCATGCACATCAGTTTTACAGTTCTGGCTTAGTTGTATGCAGATCGTTTGTTTCTTGCCTCTTAGGCAGATGCCCTCCTACTTTGAATTAGTCGACTCTTATGACATGCTAATTAGGGAGGCAGTGGGTCTTCCACACCCACCACGATGGGACCCCGGATCCCACAGGAACAGTTTATGACTTCAAATATGATGCACATATTCACAAAAACCCGCCATAGCAAACTGAAACACTTACATTTTGTGGAAAGTGTGAAGTCTTTAGATATATTGCCGAGGACATTTTTGACAAGGCATCTGTAAAGTCCATATGAACGATCGGCTACTGTTGTTATGAGCAGTTTGCTCCGGATTCTACCAATGCCACCTAGTGGCTCTTGTGTGATGACCACCCCTGAACGGCCAGAGGTCAGTTGCTGCCCTTGGAAAAACCACAGAAAACTGGGATCTGGATGACCTTGAGCTGAGCAAACCAGTTCTGCTTTTTCCTGCTTGGAGACTGCTAATCGTGGCGGTGTAGTTTCTAGAACTGGAGGAACTGCAACAGACAACTCATGCAGATTAGAAAACATGACCTGTAAAAAGTAAAAAATACCACACATTTGAAAATAAAAAAAGACATACAGATTTTTTCACATTATTTTCTGCACTAAAATATTGCACATACACAGATGTCTATATTATTAATCAGAAAATCTGTGTATCTCTATATTTGTCTGTCACAAGAACTCCTCACAAATGGTGAACAGTGTAACGTAACATTAATACATATCATTCTTCTAGGTCAACTGTGCTATTTTCAACAAGTTTTCTACACCCTCTTTTTAACTAATGCAACTACCCATTAACATTCACTTGAGTGATTTGCCTTGAGGTCCTCAAATATTTTTACACCTCTTGAACATGTAATTGATAAGGCAAAGGGACAGTCACTCTAAGTCACAGGTTTGGATGTGAGTGACAAGTGCTTCTCCCATAGATAACTATAACAGACTAAAGAAAAACTCTACATAGCCAAGAACTGACATTAATAAAATGGGTTCTGTCACCCCCATGTCGGGAGCTGGAGCAGTCACGGGTTGGCAGTTGTAGGTCAAATTTTAGTTGGGGGGGGGGGGGGTGAATGGCCCAGTGGGGTAGAAGAAGCATCAGGAGAAGTTAGGGGCAATGAAAAAAAACCAAAAGGCAGTGGTGGAGGCAAAGAACAAAAAAAAAAAAAAAGGAAAATAATATTTTCATTAACTAACATGATTACAGCCAGGCAGTTAATTCTGGTACACAAACATACACCAACACATAAACAGAGATACATATATACACATTTTAACAAAACCACACACGCACGCACGCACACACACACATATACAATGTTTGCACACAAATATCTTGTGCATGCATGCACATGTGAACATACACCCACACACACACACGCACACATACACCCACACACACGCACGCACTCATACACCCACACACACACACACATATACAGATATTTGCACACAGATATCTTGTGCATGCATGCACATGTGCACATACACCCACACACACGCACGCACACATACACCCACACACACCACAGGATCTGCTGAATCTAGGCCAATCATGACACAACTTTATCAAATGACATTTCCAAAATTTTTGTTCAAAAGTTGATGTGGAGAAATGGAGAGTTCTTGTCTGCTGCCTTATTGGCTATCTGACTACACATGTTGTTTTCTCACTCAGGAGAGCTATTCTGCACAAATGATCACAGGAAAACCTCTCCCAGCAAAAACTGTGGATCTGGCCCAAGGGAGCCACATTGAAAGAGAAGCTAATGGCGACCGGTGGCGACCTTAAACGCACAATCCTATTTGTGACCCAGATGGGACTCAATGTTTAGCATGAGTGATGTCCAACGCAGAAGAAGAAGAAGAAGAAGATCATAGGAAAGAAGCACAAATCACGACCTTCATGATGCGACAGATGTTCACTAGTTTCATAATGTGATGGATAATAAAATCTTACAGTTGATCAGCAGCCGTGTGTCAGCCGTGACTTTATCAGAATGCTTCTCTGACTCTGCCTGACAAGAGTAGTTGCCCATGTCTCTGATCTGCAACGCTGTGTTTTGACGAGACTGTAATGGCTTCTCTCTGGCTGGTCCTGAGACACCGAACACAAAACATGGCTGACTTTTATTTTAACATGTTAACAGTAGCAGGAAGAAGACTCACACTTGCCTAGTTGCTGGACTAGAAATCAAAATGATACAAGAGGTTTCAAAACTGATGTAACCAAATTTATAGCAGTAAATGTTTAATCATGATGCTAAATTAGCTTGTCTTCATTATTAGATTTTGTAAATGCCTCCTCTCCTCTTTACTCACCCCTTCCTTCATCTTACTCATTCTCTCTCTCCTTCATAATCTCACGCTTGATCCAACCACAACTCATATTTTTCCATCCTCAAATGATCCTTTAGTAAGAAAACAATTTTGTCCTACCCAAACTAATCAGGCTCTACAAACTTCTACAATGACTGGTTTTCCACAAGTAAAATTTACCCAGCATGCATTAATGGTTTAAAAGCAAAAAGGACTCAGGACACCTGGAGATGCTACTTACAAATTCTAATTACAGATGAACTGTACCCCACCCCCCACCTCCCCTCCACAATCCCCTCAAATGCATTAAGAGTATACTGTACAATTTATTGCCTGGCATATTTTGCTGCATCTCGTCAGGTGCATTACTACAGAATTAAAAACAACATTTACAGAAGCACAAAAATTATTCCCTTTTTAGTTGTTGTTGCTGAAAAACAGAAATCACATTGCCAGTTTGGCCTGTACATCTCTCCACCAGAAATTCAAGATTAGCTATGTGATTACCATGATAACTTCAAATTTATCATGTGCTCTTTTTGCCTACATAACACAGGAGAATCCAGTTTATTAATACAGCTTCAGTAAATGTGTTTTCAATGTGTGATAAATAATTCTGAACACACAATCCTTATCAACTATGTGTCCAGAGTCAAGAAAATGACATCCTAACAAAGAATTGGGTTCTTTCTTCTTGGCTGGTCTTGAAACAAGATCTTTACTCAGTTGTCTCTCCATTTGACATTTGCAAGTCAACTAGCACTTACAGGGAAGGTAAGATATTGTTATATTTGTGTTGTAATTAGGGTTGTATCGAATAGTGATTTTCACTATTCGGCCGAATACGAATAGCTGGACCAACTATTCGGCCGAATTCAAATACGAAGACGAATAGTGAATCATCATCATCAGGTACTTTGCCGACTGGCATGGGAGATTATACCTCGCCACAATGTGTGATCTCCTGCAGCATGTATTAGTTCGCGTACTGACACACCTCCATGCCATGCAACAAGACTGTTCCACATATCTTTCCACTGGTCACCTCATGTTCCATTCTCCCTCATCTTATAACATGGCCGAAAAATGATGACTGTCTCCTTCTGATGTCTGTGAGTAGTTGTCTTTGGGCTCCCGCCTCTAACAAAACCTCTTGGTTGCTTTTTTTTTTTTTTTTTGGGTGGCTGTCCAAGGTATTTTAAACATTGTTCTGTAAAAACCACTATTTTGAGGCCTCAAGAAATTGTTTGGCCTGCCTACCGATTGTCCAGGACTCACAGCCATATGTTAAAACTGGATGTATG